CCCCCCCGTCAGGGAATGAGGAAGCAGGCAAGGGAATGTCACTATTCACATAAGAATGACGCTTAGTGCAAGGCACTAGCAGGATCTTGCTTTATTTCTTCAACTGTGTATTTCTAGTATGAAATGATTGTTATACTAGACCTGTTTCTCCTTACTGCCAGTTATGCCAAAAATACCCAAAAATTAAAAAATAAAAAGCATACAGACTAAATACAGACACAATGAGAAAGTATAATATTTATTCTCTACTAAACTGATATCCCCAGTTTGTACTGTTAGGAACAGAGAGATTTGTCAGTCATTTCCAGGCTCCTAAATATTTTAAAGAGCTTTCCAAAGACCACAGACACAACCTGGAGTTTCTCCCTGAGGAACGGAAGCAGACAAATTCAGTACAAGAACAACTGGGGATAAATATGGACTGTCCATACGGGGAACGCAGAACAGGCAGCTTTTCAGGAACAGAGAGTTCACAGAACCTGAATTAATCTGTTACAGATTGAAAACAGCAAAGAAGACCAAGACTAGAAGTTATTTATTGGGTTTGGGGGAGGTATTTAGCAGGGCTGGGTGGCTGACTTTTAGTAAATGGGTCACGTGTCAAAAACATAGTTTCAGCGTACCAGAAGTCAGTCATGAATTCAGAACAAATTAAGAAAACAGAGCTCAGTAATACAAATAAAGTACTTTTTGGAGAGTGAAACATTTCTGAAATAATGTCTTTCAGCCTTGCAAGGAAACAAGCGCCACACACAGAAGAGTTTGTGGAGAGGCTTGAACAAGGGTCTCTCCCACCAGGAGACCATCCCAGCCACAGTTGGGAGAAGCATAAATAGAGGCAATCTCAAAAGGTCTTCCTCTTTGGGGTGCTGAGTTTACTCTCTTGGGATGTTTTTTTTTTGTTTTATACCACTCTCCAAGCATTTGCAATTCTTCATCCTGTTTCTATCCATTTCTTAACATTTTTAATCTTATTGTTCTATAAACAGCTGAAACTACTGAAGCTGTAGAATAACTTTGAGCAAAAACTTCAGACACATTTTCAGATACTATTTCAGAGATATTAATGCCTATGCAAATCTAACGAGTCACAATGGGTTTTATACAAGTAAACAACAGTAATTCAGATACTCAAAAAAATTTGTAACCACCATTCCTAGAAGAATAGGGAGCTCAGCCTTCACATGACACCAAATTATAACCTTTTAAAAGCACGCATTATGTGGGCCACCTTTTAATTATCATTTCTCTCCCAAGAGCAGACGTCTTCTTTTTGTTTGAGCCCACAGGCTCCCCCAGCATTCTAGTCTCTGATCCCTCCATCAGGGGCATTACAGGGGCATTGCTACAACATTGGTGTTTACTAATTGTGACAAAGATTTCTCTAAAGGACAATCTTTATTAGTTTTTAATTGTTCCTTTTTCCCCTTCACCTTGAGCCTGTCTTCAAAGGTAATCTGGCCCCTACAGTCATCTCTTTCTAGTCCAATCCATGGAGATGAACCTTGCTTCTAAGGTTTTATACATTAGATTTATAGAACTAATAAATATATTATAAATCTAATGTCTAAAATCTGAATATTTAAACTCCCTTGAGTAGGCCAAATCTAGGACACCTGAGCAATTTCTGTGACCAAGTATTTCTCTTGAACACTTACTTCCTTATATATTTCTTTTAGAAATACATTTTAAGATCTAGAGTTTGTCATTAATTCAATCTTCAAAACACAGTTTGAGCTGAAAGACTGTGTCAAATTTACATACAAAAAGCCTTTGCACATACACCTATGAAGTTGTCAGATTTCACAGTCTCAGTCGTGAAAGTCTGGGTAAGAATTTACACGGAAAACTTCCAAAATACCAGACAGAATGGATCTTGAAAGAAACAATAGGTTGAATCACCAGTATGCAATGCCTGCCCCACGTGAAAAAGAGCTGTTCTGGTTCCGGGAATGAGCTCTCTCAGCCAGGCCATTAATCTTCAAGGTTAGTAAGAACCAATGGGTTTCTTTCCTTTTGCCATACATACATCTATTACAGCAATTTATACCTCATTTTCAAACTGTGGTTTCAGTGGGGTTCAGCATGATTTACAACAGGAAACAAAAAGAATGATGGAGCACAGCCATAGAGTTGTTACACTCCGACTGGCCACAGCCTTCCACACAAGTCAAAGAATTGTAGCAACAGGGGAAATAATTTGACTGTGGATACAATAATTATACAGAAAGACCCAATTATATTTTTTTTTCCTGCTTAGAACAGTGCATAAAATAAGTCTGTATACCATTTGTTCTCACTTCACTTGTTATCTCATTTTTAATTATGTGTTCTAGTACTAAAAAGTATGCTCAGTCTCCAGATAGTTTTTTCCTTTAAAAATACAAGTGGGTCAAACAGAGGTTCTTTGGAATAGACAAATTTTAAAACCTCATTATCTCATTCCTAAACACTATTTCAAAGTGAATTAAGGTGCAACAGAATTTGATTAACTACAGTTATAAATCTGAAACTAAAATGAAGACAGGTCTAAATCAAATACAATACCTCATTAGAAGATATAACTTCAGATATTTACCAATCTCCAAAAAGTAAGAGCAGGAAACAGAAAACTATACAATGTATATGAAGCTGGGAGTAATCCTGTCATCACACCCTATTGACTGAGAGTATATCAAAAGACAAGAATAGACTGAAAACATCCTCATGTTTCAGGGATTTTTTTTTCGGTGGCAGAAGACATTCTCAGTCGACTCTGAGGACTAGTCAGATTTCATATGAAATCTGACCTGAAATCTCACCTGTTTTCAAAGCAACCCCTGCAAACAGGTCCAGAAAAGGGTTTCTCAGGTGAGAATGAGAATGGGAAAATAAACATGAAAAGAAGCCTACTTAAACAGAAACCAAGAATACATATAATCACATTTTACTATTATTAGATACGTGATTACTATGCTTTGCTTTTTCTTGCGGCTAGCTCTAAATACAGACAGAATGCAAAGCATTAAATTGCCACGTGGAAGCCAGCTCTAATTCCCCAGGGCTGAAGAGACCTCAGACAGCCCGCCCACCGCTCCGCCCAATCAGCGCGCAAGGAAGACGAGTGGCGGGAAAGACAGCCAATCGGACCCTGCATTCAAACTTACCTCAGGACCTGCCCCTCACATCTCTTGCCGCGGGACCCAGCGCCGCCGTTCTGGGTGGAAATCGCAGAGTTTCAGGAGCCTTTCCCGAGGCCGCGAAGCAATTTTACACGCTCAGCCACGCTCTTCTGGGATATTTTAGGTGGAAACCCGGTGATTTTGAGTCCCCGGCAGCCGCGATGGAAACCTCCTTCTCTCCCCAGCACGGCCGTGGGTCCCTGGGGCCTGTGGGCTCTGTCAGGGGGCTTGGAGGAGGAATTTTAACTGTTTAGTCTAAATAAGTTAAGTTTTAATTGGAGCAAAGTTGTGGGCCACCATGCCCTGAGGCTGCAGCTCCGTCACCACAGCTCGAAAGAAGGTTTGTGTGATTTGTGAGAGAAGCAAGAAGAGCTCCGGGGTGGTCCCCAAAGGAGAAACCCACACTCATTGCACAACCCCAGGTTCCTGATCCAGGCAGGAACATGTCACCTCCCACATCTCCCCTTCCCACAGCTTCATCTCGTGAGAGATGGCAGAGAGTTTCTGCTGAGACCAGGAGGAACCAGAGCAGCAGATGAGGGAAGGACAACCCCAGGAGACCAGAAGAGGTGAAGCTCCAAGTCCTTACCATAGGGCAGGTCCTTTCTCAGCCACTTCTGTCACCTTGGCACTTGGGGCTTGCTGCAGATGTATGGCCGAAGCTGTGAGCAGTCTGTACTCCCCAAAACATGGTCGAACAAATACACACACTCTGCCTCGCCACGCGCCTCAAACCTGCAACAAGCAGCACAGACACCGCTGGGACCGTGGGGGTGGCAGTTGTCCCCTCAAGGCACCAGGAGGAGACAAGGGCTGCCTGCAAGGGACAGCCCCAGCAGACACCTCCCACCAGGACCCTGCCCGTCCCACCACAGGATGGTCTCCCCACGGCCCCAGCTCCCAATGGGACTCACATCTGGTTGAAGCTGCTGCCGTCCACCCACTCCAGGTGCTCGCCCCGTCTCCGCAGCCCAATCCAGGGATCCATGTCACCTTTGAGGAGCGAGAGGAACTGCTGGGCAGGAAAGAGAGAAGCCAATATCCAGCAGATGCTCCCAGCTGCACGCTGGTCCCTGTCCCATTCCTGGGATGGCAGCAGCTCCCACCCCACACCTGCTCCAACAAGCTCCAGAGCTGCTGCAGGAGATCACCAGCCCACACAGTGCTCTTGGTCCTGCTCTGACACAGCTCCGCTCCCACCCCACACCGCACCCAACACAGGAAGTCCCCCAAACCCTCACGCACCCACAACAGCCCCTCACTCACCAGTTCCCACTCCCTCCTCAGCACGGCCAGCGAGGCCCCATGAAGGAAGGGAGGGGGGGACCGGCCGAAAAGGGCCGGGCCGCG